TATTTTAGACAATTGGTGGCATCATCGTTACCAGTTCTGGATAGAGAAAGTATATATATTTAGCTGTCTTTAAGAAAATAAATGGATATGATTATGTTTGTTTTTGGATTTGAAGAAAGGAGGACTTATTACACTTGTGATTTGTATATCTTAAGCAGATTCGCATTGTGTTATCTTCTTGGTGTTGCAATTGTATCTTTTGTTCTTGGATTATGTTGCTTTCTTTGTGTGAAATTTGGAGGGTTTATCGGTTTCTTGTATATGTTCAGCTGGTTAGTTTAGAGTCTGATAGATTATGTTAGCTTTCTTTTATCGTATTTTTCAACCGATTTTTGAAAAACTTGGCGACAATCATCCATAATTTTCTCTGTACCCGAGGATAACTCTTACCTTCTTTTACATTCTTGGGTTTGTTACTTGTCATGAAAAGTAGTCTGCTTGTGATTGACATTGTTGTTTTTGTTGGCTTATTATGGTTTACGTGAAGTAGCAGCTTTAGTTTCATGGTTACTTCCTGGTTCTGTGTTTAATACTTTGCGATGTTCATCATAATTAGTTATTGGTCTATAGAATCAAGAATCTCTTTTCTTTTATGATTTTATCTTATGGAGTCTATATTTGATATGGACTTGTTGTTTGCTTAGCTCAAATGTGGTTTATAACCTTTATATCTGAAATTACAGGTATTTCGATGCCTTTATGACGGTGTTTCATCTTACAACAAGTTTCCAGAGGATAAAAGACATGAAAACAAAACTCGGGTTGTATCGTATCTCTTCATGTCTCTTATCGAATCCCGAAAGGTCCTGGATTTAGAACAAGTTTATCCTCAAACTTTCTTGCTTTCATTCTTTCAGTTTCGGGTTTTTTTAGTATATCAGTGTAATGATGTTGGCAAGATTATAGTTTTTAATGCAATGTCCTGATCATTACCCATGAGTCATAAATCATCAAAACTTTCTTTAAATTGACATTTTGAGTTTTGTATGTGATCAAAACGTTGGTTTGAAATGGAGAAAATTTTGAAATTAGAGATTTCTTATCCTAATTTCTTTCTCTTTGCCACCACACATTACATATGCC